TCGCGCCACAACGGCGTGCAATTTTTCATCGCTCCTGTGGCCAGCTGGATCCGCACCCGCCGCTTTAGCGAGCCTACTTTTCGACCCTCCGGAGCCACAAATCATTGGAAAAACACAGTGTTTCGCGACTTTTCTACCTTTTCGCGCATCTGCATCTTCTGTCTTCTTACTCTTTCTCTTCTACTCTTCTTTCTTCTAATCTTTCTCATCTCTCTGCCTCTTCCCTGCTCTGCTTTTCATCTCTCCATATTGTCGGAAGTTTGACTTCTAAACTTCCTTCGATGAGTGGATAAATGGACGGACAAACGGATAGTAGATCGATAGATTGATGCAATAGATAGATGGGTAGATAGGAAGATAGGTAGGCAGGGGGTAGATTGCTAGCTGGATGGAAACACGTATTCTGACATAGCTAGATAGCTGGATACGTAGATACGAAGATCAGATAAGATCAGGCAAGATGAAATGAAATAACACTGTTTTCTGCCGTGGTCGACCTAAGTAAGCCAGGTTAGGGATGGGATCAAATATGATGTCATAATATATATATAAAGACATAGATGAGACAAGATGGGTTCAGATCCGGACCCAAGAGAACAAAATAGATCGGTAGATAAAGCGGATTGCGATAAATCTAAAACATAAGAAAGGTCAAATCAAACAAAAAAAGATCAAAATGGGAGAAACGGAGGTAGGATACGAAATAGTTGGATAGCTGCGGAAAACCATGTTCTATGTAATTTCTATGGTTCTACTTGTCAACATGTGTATCATGCGATACATATATGTATATATAATATACATATATATATAGCTGGTTATGTTAGATTCGCTATATTTAATCATATTATTTTGCGATGTGTTATATTACTGTTTTTTGTAGAAATTGTAAAAATATTGTGTTAAAATATGTTATACCATGTGATGATACTTTAAGGTATTGCATTACATGTCAATGAATAAAGTGTTATGTTATGAATAAAGTGTTATGTCGACAGTCTTTTTAATTCACCTTTAGGACGAACAGCTGCTGTAGTGGTGCCAACGGGTCTCACCCAGACCTATGGTTTTGAAAAAAAATATTTTGTACTGTATCATATCATGTCAAATTAAAATACATTACGTTCTATATGTCATATTGTATTATATCACATCATGTTAAACGGCTTAACTTATTCTATAAACTAGTATATTATATTCCATTGTGTTAAATGATAATGTATAAAATCATATTGTATTACTATTTTATGACGTTATTGTTCGATATTATTTATGCAAAAATACATCAGATTTAATTCAGTCAAAACCGATGATAATAATCATCATAATATATATATATATGTATGTAATCTTATCAAAATTATCTGATGTTTTTGTATAATATAGGTCAATTCTATTGAACTATATGTGTATAGATGAATATATTATATATCATTCATGATGTATTGTGCATGTCCGCATGCTCGTGCATGTCTGTATATACATGTGCGTGTCAGTGTCTGTGTGTGTGTGGATGCATGCGCCTGTATACATGCGCATAAACAAGCATGTATGCGCATGATTGTGCATGTATATCAAAAACATCCCGGCGGACCGGAAACTGCGCTCGTTAAAAAAAAAATGTCTAAAATATCTCATTTTCGCACTGCCAAACAGACATTTCTGCAAGCCGAATTGTTCCAAATTCTCGCGCGAGAATTTGGCAAAATTTGCGTTTCGTGACGTGTCGGTTTTGGATTCATTTCATTGGGGCATGTTGACAGGCTTTTTCTTTTTCTTTTCAAAGAAGGCGCTTCAGCGTTGAAATTGTTTTTTGCTGGAGATGGGTATGCAGATTCGCATATCTCCACTGCCAGCATTTCACATAGAGGAGAAGATCTTTGCTCTTTGAACACAACGAGTTGGGGATGAAGTTTTTGACAGCACTCCATGCGGCATCGATTGTTCCAGTGTGGCAACTGATTTTTCTCCATTCCACGGTAGACTGCTTTTTCAAACTCCACCCCCACACCCCACCCCTTCATGTATACAGCGAAGCAACACTACCAGACATCTGTACAGCGTCGCAACATGTAGCGGAAGAAGTACAAGGAACGCTAACATGCCCCCCCCCCCCCCCGCCCCTTCATGACCTGCGAACACACGCTAGCAAAAACGTGCGTTTTACGAGCACGGTTTTCGGTCCGCTGGCAAAAACATGTATACATACACATGTGTACTTGCTACATCTCTCTCCTTCTCTCTTTGCATAATGCGTCTGTATCTGCATTTTCCTCCTCCTGGTTCATTGCGTTCCCGACATTTGCAAAAAATCCACTAAGTGTTTCAGATTCCCCACAGATAGAATACGGGTAGTGCCTTCAGTTCCGGTCGGGAAGGCAAAGCATGCCGCAGCAGTGTCAGAACGAAGTCCATGTCCATGCTTCTTTCATGGACCTGTACCACCAGCATACGCAACAGGAAACAGGAAGTTATATCACTGGCTTCGATTTCAAGTCTTGCTGAAGTGCAAATGAATGGTCTGGGTCTGGGTCATGTTTGCACTGTGGAGAGGGTGCTAAATCCTGACCGAAGAGACCCCTTGGAGGTGCCAAAGCTAATGGCCCAAACGGACCCAAACGGGTCAAAATGGCACCTCATCCAGAACCAAATGCGTCATATCTTGTGAGGTGAACATCTGCTGGTCACCCTGCGAGATGACTCGACGGAGCAAAACTCCCAAGGTGCAGAAGAGAAGTTGGCACCACTGCGTGTGCATCTTGGTTTCCCCTCGGACCATGTACCTGCGGCTGACGGACGTCCAATCAAAGTGCGATAAGGTTCAACAAAATGCAGTAGGCAAACTCACATGTTGAGTCAATGTGGTAAATCAGATGGCTTCAAGCTGCTACGCCTCCGCAAAACCTTGTCAAGGCCTCTGGCTCTAAACCGGACCATCTATCCAGGATACGACGGTCGTGACGATCGGAAATCTTGTCAATTATTTCTCCTTGCTGCTCTCTTGTTTAGGTCGCTTCATCATGCCATGCTTTTGGATGACTTCGAACAAATTCCGTGGCAAGACCGAGAAGGGCTCCTGACTGTTTTTGTTTTCCTCCATTTCAAGCCGTGGTCTTTAGTCTACGGCATTTGCACCCTGGAAATTGGACAAAACCAGCACCGGGTAACATAAAGATTATATACATATTTATATATATATATACATACGACTACTACGACTACCAGTAGTACCCGCACGAGGCGGGGCGGAAGTTGCCTTAGGGATATACTATAAGACCTTTCTCATCTATAGAACTTGCATGCGCCGTGCGCCAGCCAGGCAAGTGCGTGCGTGCTTTGTGCGAAGCTGTTGTACAAATGTTGTCCAAGAACATGACCTGCGCGCGACCCCGGTGCAATGCAACGCCAAGCGAAGACTTTCCTCACACTTCACACTGCACTTTTCACACCCAGCACTTCGCACTGCACACTTACACTTCGCACTCAGCACTTCATCTCATCTCAAATCATGTGAGCTCTTCTCACCTCATCTCAGCTCTTCTCATCTCATCCCATCTCTTCTCACATGTCATCTAAGTAAGTTCTTCTCAACTGTTTTCACCTCATCCGAGCACTGATCAACCTTTCTCATCTCGTCGAAGTTCGTCTCAACTCATCTTAGCTAGAAAGCTCTTACTGTCAGAGAAGTCTGGGGCACGAAAAAACAATTGGGCGCAGAAAGTTTTAGCACAGACACTTGAGACACAAATGCATTTAGACAGAAAAGCCTTTCCGAAATACTTTGTACTACAAAGCTTGCACAAAGCACTTCCCAGTATTACTTTGTACTACAAAGTTTGCACAAAGCACGTCCCAGTTCTACTACTTGTACTACAAAGCTTGCACAAAGTATTTCCCAGTACTTCTGTGTACTACAAAGCTTGCACAAAGCACGTCCAGTACTACTACTTGTACTACAAAGCTTGCACAAAGCACTTCCCAGTACTACTTTGTACTACAAAGCTTGCACAAAGCACTTCCCAGTACTACTTTGTACAACAAGCTGGCACAAAGCACGTTCCTGCACTACTTTGTACTACAAAGCTTGCACAAAGCACTTCCCAGTACTACTTTGTAATACGCACGCACAAGCACACCCAAAGCAGCTTGAAGCCACCGTTACAGTGCGGCAAAAAGAAGGCAAACCGACCGCAGCCGCACCCGCCGCACACAGGAGGTACCTTTCATCGCCGCCTGCAGCTACAAGGTTTCGTGCTCCGGCTTCCTCCCCAAAACAAAGCCCATGCAACATTCATGCAGCCATTACAATGCGTTTCGCAGCATTCCGTTCATCACCACTTCCCTTCGTCACCACTTCCCTTAGCCACCACTTCCCAAAGTCACCACTTTCCCTCGTCACCACTTCCCTTCGTCACCACTTCCCTTCGTCACCACCCTGTGTCATAGCCTCTTATTCTTTTGTGATGTATTGTTATGTGATGTCAAGTCTCACACCACCCTGTGTCATAGCCTATTATTCCTTTGTGATGTATTGCTATGTGGTGCAAAAGACACACACCACCCTTCATCAATGTCAAGTCTCACATTCTATTGACACACACACCACCCTTCATCAAGGTCAAGTCTCACAATTCTATTTGTCCGTAACACGGAAGTATTGCTTCCCAACTTCCTTTGATAAATATATATATATCTCTCTCTCTCCCTATCACATATATATATATGTATGTATGTATGTATGTATGTAAATGTGTAATGATATGTATACTTGTATACAGATGACGGTTTGTCAAAATGTCTTTGTCTGGTTTGGTTGATAAATCGTAGTTCCATGCGTGACGCTTCATAGTTGAATTTCTTATCTAACTAGTCTGAAACCGTGCATTTTATCTTTTGTGTTTGAAACCGGAGCGAAAACCTGCAGGAAAGGCTACCGCACATCTTTATGGAGTAAAATTGAACGACAAACTTCGAAACATAGGAAAATGGTTGAGTAGCGCAGAAATTCACTAAAACATCCTTAATTAGGTTTAAGGCGCTAAGTGTCATGTCTTATTTTTCTTCATGTCGAAATACCAAGCAGTCGGCAACGCATACACAAATCATTGAACATGGATGTAAAAAATAACTAGCGAAAACCTAGCGGGTTTGCTAGCGCTGCCTTGCAAAATTGGTGAATTTAGTTGCGAGCCGCCTCATAACGAAGAGGAAAAACAACTAGATTCACACTAATTATCAACAACTAGTACAAAACTTCTGTCAACTATATATTTCTGGCAAATGGTCATATTCCCTTTTTGTTCATTATTCATTTATTTCAACGTGTTATGTGCAGCATACAAAATAACACATCCCAAAGGGCACCCGACAGACTTGGCGCCCACGTCCTCTCCGCGCTCTTCGGCTACGCGCCGAGCCACCGATAAGGCAGCAAAGCGGCGCGGTTGGGTGACGACCTTGGCGAAATTTATGGCAGAATGAGAAAGCACACGGTTCGTTACACTATGTCACCTTTCTCGTTTCTGCAAAGAGCTGTTGGGCCCCGTAGAAGTATGTAGAAATCTAATGGCTGCTCTCGGGCACTAAAGAGGCAGCATCCAACTACAGCAACCTGAGATGGACTGATCACTTGTGATGCTTGTCAGGTTCTTTTGGCGAAAAAAGGATGAGCATGGCATGAACATGAACAAGTGTTGAGATTGGTGAGCAAAGAATGCGAATGCGAATTTTACATAATTACATAAAGTACAAGCATTCAAACTGGGAAATCAAACAACAGTCACGATACGGAAATCAAAGACAATGACTCGGCCCCAGCCAAAAGGTATGAAAGTTCGCTGGCTGGGATATGCACGTCGATGCCTCAAAATTAACAACGTGAAATGGTGTAGACCGCCATGTCAAATTGGAACAATGTGTTTATTCATCTGCTGACATAAGCCTAGGGCCCCACATGGGACCAAACTAAGTTAGGGTCATGTGCGTGCCAAAAAACGGTGTTGATGATGACGATGGCGATGACAGTGATGGAGACGATGACGACGACGATGACGACGACGATGACGATGATGGATGATGGATGATGGATGATACATGACGCATGATGCATGATGCAGATGACGATGATGATGATGATGATGATGATGGTGATGGTGATGGTGGTGATGGTGATGGTGATGGTGACGGTGACGGTAATCGAATGGTGATGGTGATGGTGATGATGGCGTTTGATGACGATTATGATGATGAGAGTGGCAATGAAGAATGATGATAATGGTGATGGACGGTGATGGATGATGATGGGTGATGATGGATGACCATGGATGATGATGGATGATGATTCATGGTGGTTGATGACGATTGAGGAAATTGATTGTGATTGATGATGATTAATGATGATGGATGATGGATGATGATGCATGACGATGGATGATGACGGATAATGATGGATGACGATGGATTATGATGGATGATGATGGATGATGGTGGGTGATGATGATGGATGACGATGGATTTTGGTGGATGATGATGGATGACGATGGATTTTGGTGGATGATGATGGATGACGATGGATTTTGGTGGATGATGATGGATGATGATGGAAAATGATTGATATGGTGATTGCTAACTGATGACAACTGATGACGGTTGATGATGATTGATGATGATTGATGATGACGGATGATCATGGATGATGACGGATGATCATGGATGATGACGGATGATGATGGATGATGATGGAGCATGATTGATGATGGACGACGATGGACGATGATGATGATGATGATGATGATGATGATGATGATGACCATGGCGATGACCATGACCATGACCATGACGATGATGATTCTGATGAAGATGATGATGATGATGATGACGGCGACGCCGACGCCGACGCCGACGCCGACGACGACGACGACGACGCCGACGCCGACGCCGACGCCGACGCCGACGCCGACGCCGACGACGACGACGACGACGACGACGATGACGATGACGATGATGATGATGATGATGATGAGACGGAATGATATTTATTTTTCTTGCGAAGACGAAAATGATGACTTTTTTCAGCTGAAGACGACGATGAAAATGAAGATGCTGGACTCCACCCTGAAAGTTTCAGGGACTTCAACGGTCCTGGTCACTGCCTATTCCTTGCTAAAGCAAGAGCAACTTCGGCTAGCACACGCGTGACAAATGCGCAAAACATGGCGCACTCAACATTCCGAACAATTGTGTTGGTTTCTTTCGTCTTTTCTTCCAATGTCAACGCTTGTTTCTGCAAGAGTCTTCTTATATATATATATATATGAGCCGCTGTAAAAAACAATTGTTGATGCATGGTACGATCTTTTTTGGGGGGCCCTATCGCTTTACAGTGTTTTATTCAAATCAAGACTAAATAATGCAAACATGCAGCAGGATTGGCTTCACGGATTCAGATCTCTAAACTGCCGGGGATGGATGAATTAAGGGGGCGCTCGGCGCTCGTTGTCTTTGCGTTTGCAACCATGTTGGGGAGCTACCTAAGCACATTCCGAGACTCATTCCCAATCAAGGAAATTTATGACAATCTCCAAGCTAGAATGACAGTAACCTATATAAGATCAATAATTCTATGAAAACGAAAAAGGATATCGCTGTGGTCAAATGAGTCTATCCCTCGTCCGGGGTCTCCTTTTCAACAAAAGGTTCTCGCTAGGTTATCGCTAAGGTTATCGCTACATTAGAACACCAGGATGATCAAGAAAGGAAGAGAAAGAGGAAATGAAAAGGACAAAATGAAACAAAAAGGAAAAATGAAATAGATGGAATTCAGAATCGGATTCAAAAATTCAGAATCAGTTTTGGTTTACTTCAGAATTCAGTTGCGTTTAGTTTCAAAAGGAAAGTAAGAGGAAAAAGGAAGGTAAGAAAAAAGGAAGCAAAGGAAGAAGAATAAATTATACAGCACATAAACGAAATTCAGAATTGGTATAAAAAAACTATTTTTGATTTAATTCAAAGTTCAATTGCGGTAAGTCATTAGGTTAATTAAATTCTACTGCTTTGGGACCTGGGAGAAAAAAATAAATTTCCTGCAGACAGCGACGGTTCAATCACCTTGGACACCACATGACATGGCCACTGCAAGAAACGTGGGCACTGCAGGTTGGATTTTCTTCATCAATTTTGCCCACCGCCTGAAGGTGCACAACAACATGTTCTTGGGTTACACCAAGTTTAATGCACTCTCATATGTCACTGATCTCGTTTTAGATCCGTGGGGTTTACATCAGCTACCTTTTTCAGCCAAAGTAAGATGTCTCAAAGCAGCCTCAATTGAAACATGTTGAACACTGTCCAAGGTTGACAATATCATGTTTCCAAAAATTGTTCAGAATTCAGAATTGCTTGGCATTACCCAAACTTGCCCGACAAAATGCTCAAAATTGCTCCAAATGGCCCAAACTTGCCCGCAAAAAATTATTCAAAATTGCTCAAAGTTGCCCAAAATTGCTCAAAATGTCTCAAACTGTCTCAAAATGTCTCAAAATTGGCCAATAGGTGCCTATAGGGGTGCAAAAGTTGTCATTACTAGGCATTGCTGTTGCCGGTGTCTATTGCAGCATGGGCTTAAGGTCAGTGTCAATTGAGCCGAGGTTATGCCTGCTGCTACGTTCAGAACCTTCAATCGTCAATTTCAACTGACAGGGATCACTTGTCATTAGATTGGCTGCCATAGTTTCAATTAACGGCTTATCCCGAAAGCCAACATCATCGCTTTGATAGGAAAAAAACGTTCATGCCCGCAGTTTCTTTTGTTTCATTATTGCCTCTTGGTGATACCGCAATCAGACATGAACTTCGTTTTTTTTGATTTTTTGAGATTTGAAAGGTATCAGATCTGAACCTGACGGATGTACACCCCAAATTGCGAACAGTGAATATGGTTACAAGTTATTCTTTTTTGGGGGGGACCTATCGCTTTACATGGTTTGGTGCACTTTCTGGACACCACTGGACCCTCCCTTAACTAAAGTAGTCTGCGCTTATTTTGACCGTATCTCATATATAAATATGATATGATATGATATGATATGATATGTATGTATGTATGTTTGTATGTATGTTTGTATGTATGTTTGTATGTATGTTTGTATGTATGTTTGTATGTATGTTTGTATGTATGTTTGTATGTATGTTTGTATGTATGTTTGTATGTATGTATGTATGTTTGTATGTTTGTATGTTTGTATGTATGTTTGTATGTTTATGTATGTATGTTTATGTATGTTTATGTATGTCGTATGTATGTGTATGTATGTGTATGTATGTTTATGTATGTTTATGTATGTGTATGTATGTGTATGTATGTTTATGTATGTTTATGTATGTATGTTTATGTATGTTTATGTATGTATGTTTATGTATGTTTATGTATGTTTATGTATGTTTATGTATGTTTATGTATGTTTATGTATGTTTATGTATGTTTATGTATGTTAATGTATGTTAATGTATGTATTTATGTATGTTAATGTATGTATTTATGTATGTATTTCTGTATGTATTTATGTATGTATGTATGTACGTATGTATGTATGCATGTATGTAGGTAGGTAGGTAGGTAGGGATGTATGTAGGCATGTATATATATATATACACATGCGATATATCTATCTATCTATCTATCTGTCTGTCTGTCTGTCTGTCTGTCTGTATGTATGTATGTATGTATGTATGGCTGTGTTCATGTCTATGTCTATGTGTGTGTTTATGTACGTTTATGTACGTTTATGTACGTCTATGCATGTGTATGTATGTGCATGGATGTGTATGATGTGCATGGATGTGTATGGGTGCGTGTGGATGTGTATGGATGCGTATTGTATGGATGCGTATGGATGCGTATGTATGTGTATTTATGTGTATGTATGTGTATGTACGTGTGTGTACGTGTGTGTACTTGTGTTTCTGCAAATGTACCTATGCATCTATGCATCTATGCATCTATGCATCTATCTATCTATCTATCTATGTATGTATGTATGTATATATGTAGGCAGGCAGGTAGGTAGGTAGGTATCTATGTAAGTATGTATGTATGTATGCATGCATGCATGTATGTGCGAATCTATCTATCTATCTATCTATCTTTCTACCTATCTATCTATCTATCTATATTTCTTTCTATCTAGCTATGTATCTATGTATCTGTGTATCTATGTATCTATGTAGTGTATCTGTGTATCTATCTATGTATCTATCTATCGATCTATCGATCTATCTATCTATCTCTCTATCTATGTATCTATGTATCTATGTATCTATGTACCTATGTATGCATGCATGTATGTATGTGAAGAAACGCTCACACACACACCCCAAAAAAAAAGAACATCCAAGGCCAATACTACTCGTGGAGGACGGTCAGAAGGCCCATCCAGAATAAATTGTCCGATCTGCGTGGTCTTGCCACTGCCTGTCTCGCCATGTACCAGAACGACCTGATTGGAAGCTAACAGCTTGGCGAGTTCATCTTTCACCTGAAATCGGGTGGACGGGAAGAGGAAGAAAAGGAAAGTCCAGGTTAAATGTCACAACGCGATTTACGCGTTTGTGGGGAAAATGCTGGTGCTTGTCAGTCATGTGAAAACACTCACAATGTTGCCATTGCATCGCCTTGAATGCTGGCAATGCCTCTCTGCTTTTCTTCATTCTCTGACCTTGGCTACTCTGCTGCCAGCCATCAATCCCCTTGGGCACACCATCCGCTTTCCTTAGCCAGAAAATGTTTAGGAGCATGCACCAAACGCCGCAACCTACGCCGCAACCTGTCCACAACTGGTCAGCTATCTACTTCAGTGATCTTCAGTGCATCACTCGCCTCTGTGACTGTCGGTTTAAAAACGATTCTATGGCAAGGATCCATCCAAACCAAGATGGCGGCGCAAATGATCTCGATGAGGCCTCTTTTTGCGGCGCAATGTCCGCCGGCACTTCCGCCACAATCTCTTCGCTGTTTCCTAGAGTTTCGTCTGCAATGTCGTTGCCGTCGCCGTTGTCATCACCAACGTCCACTGTTTCAGAGTCGTCTTTTTGGGAAACTGCAGGAACGGAAGTCGCGCTGGCACTTCCATCGGCAACTGCTTCTGTCCAAAGATTGTCCCAGCGACTTCGCAACTCCTCATAGCGTGCTCCCAGCACACAAGCATGCGACCATGCATGCTGATACAGGTGTCCTGTTCAAAACCATTCAAGGATAAGGTCGAGGCAAAAAGAAAAAGAGAACTTTAGTAAAGTCTGCCCTCTCCTCCAATAAGTCTGCCGGAAATCCATCAGCATCCAACATGGCTTTTGCTGCTTCAAGCGCCTCGTTTCGATCCTCTTCATCGCCCTCTGTACGCAACAACACCTCTACAGAGGCCCAAAGACCTTCCGAATCCTGACAGGCAGATCGTCCGCGATCCAAGTCTTAGTGGCATACATTCAGTGACACTTAGTGGCACTTAGTGGTGTGTTGGGTTCTTTAGTATTTTAGGTAGCCTGAATGAGGGCGTTGGCCTGAGCCCCGGTTGATTGGTAGCACATACCAGCTGCATTGAGGATGAAAGAATCCAGGTTGCGACATCCAATATTTGCTACATCATACCAGGTGGTTGCACTTCAAGTATCCACTCGCTCTTGAACTCTTGAATCATTGGGATTCCATTGTTCACGCCAAAAACCAGCTTGGGCTAGGAGTCTTGACAGATATGGTTTGAAGCTGAAAGGGAAAACAACAGGGAGATGGGCCATCAAGCCAGGGAAATGCGATCACCACCAGGGTTTCTTTTCAGATCTTTTCAGTGCCTCCAAATGGGCGTCCATTTGCTCCCGGAGCCATGCCAAGAAGACTTCCTTAGGGTCCCTGGCGGCTGGCTTCGGCTTCGGCTTGTGGACCTCGAACTGGCCCTTGTGTGCAGCAAAAGCTTCGGGGATTTCCTCCTGGGAAGAGAACCGAAACGAGGCAAAACCACTCCACTTCAGTGCCTGATAAATCTATATAAATCTTATGAGCGAATGAAAAGGGAACCGTGACTGTACCAAATATATTCAATATATCCAAATATGGTGAAAGCCGAATCCTGCTGAAGAGAAAAGAAATGCTGCTCAAAAGCATCAAAGTGTGGATCACCTCTATGCGCCAATCGATCAATGGCATCTCCATAGAAATCGGACAGCTGTCCGGAACTGCAGCATACAGTCCTCGGGAAGGTGCAAGCAAAGCCAAATCCGCAAGCGCTCCTTAGCGAGGACAAATATGCGCGGATCCTTCTTGACCAGTCAATAGTCTGAAAGACGGGCGGCTTGCTGTCAACCACATGCGAACTATGGCACTATGGCTAGCTAGCCAAAATAGATCAAAATAGCAAACAAATGCAAACACCGTTGCCATTGGTTGCCTCCTTCCTTGGGTTTGCAGTCAACACAAACGTGGTTGATCGATGTTGATCGTGCCTTTTCAGGTTGAGTCGGTTTGAAGTCTTGAGCTTCTGCGGCTGCAGTGAACTCTCAGGCCAGGCCGCAGCCAGGTCTTCTGTGCTCGTGCTGCGTCTTTCTGCAAGCAACGCTCGCTGCGCTGCTTCTTCCGTGAAGCCCCACGTCATTACCTGCTGAAGAGCAGCAGCCTCTGCGTCCTTGGCTCTGCTTCAGAGCACCATGACTGCGGAAATTGCAAGGCCTTGCCTTGAGAAAAGCTGAAGGTTTAGAACGCCAATCCTGACTCTCAATGCGTTTCAAATGTCTTCACCGGTTTCAAGAGCAGCAGTGCGGGGCCATTGACAAATTAAGCCATGAATCTGTGAGATCCTCCATGGCCTCGTCAGCGTCAGCTTGAGCTGCATATTCTGAGCCCAGGTTCAATGCTTTGAAGATCAAGTCACGCATTCGCCTTGTGGAAGCTATTTGCTGCAAGATGCTGCAAAACAAAAGGTCTGACCCGTGACAAAACCCAGAAAACAAATAGCCAGGCCTCGCCAATATGATCCGTGCTTTCATGTTGGCTAGCCTGGGGAAACAGCTTCAGTCAGTCAGCCAAGGAAAAAAAGACGTTGCAGTGCATGCAGTCTTGTAAACTCACCAAGCTCATCAACTCTAATCAGATGATTCAGATGATATAAATGGAATATATAACTCTATATATATAAATGATATAAAGTGGTTGTAGTTCTGCTTGGTGCTTGGTTGTGACATGCTGAAACGGCTGAAGCTTCGTGTGGGCACCTGGCGCAGCTTGATCACAGCATGTATTCCACATATCACCATATAATGTAAACATATGTGCCTTAAACTTATGCATAATATTGTGCAATGCACATCTATAAACAGTGTTAAATGATCTCAAATGTACCGAGTCTCTTCTTCATGTCTCGGATAGCTTCTCGCCGATTCTTCTCTTGGGCCCATGCCTCCTGCGAGTTGCATCCTTTCAAAAATTACCAACAATTGCAGTACAGTACCTCTAGGGGTGGTGCCTTTGCCTCAATGTTGCCCACCAAGCCAACCTCCAAGCCAGACTATATGGATATAATAAATGGATGATTATGGATGATATTGTATGATATTGTGTGGGAAGCAATGCGTGTCTTTCATGAAATGCCAACACCAAGGCTGCAGAGTAAAAATCGAAAGAGTGAGCACGAGCCAACCATGAGCCTGGGAAGAAAAAGGATGAAAAAGGAACATCCAACTCCCAGGGGCTGCGAAATTTACTTTTGCATGTTTGTCCTTCCATATCTTCCATGTGTTCCTCTATGTCTCTGGTGCGTGAATGAATCTAAGTTGGACTGGAAGTTGGGCAGAGGCGGCAAGGTGGAAGAGACAGCCAGGTGTGAAAGCAAACAGGAACAGCCAAAGGTGATCATGAAATGCCCACTCTCCCTTGAGAGCAAGCAAAGGAGAGCGAAAAGTAGAAAAAAGGAAATAGAAGGTTAAATGGAGTAAGGAGACATGCAATGCCAGGGTGACTTTTCATTACTTTTCGCCCGTCAGATTTCAGCGATATTGCACACACACACACCTGACGATGTCATTCAGCATGCCTTGAGTCAAGGTGCAGCGAAGGGAATCAAAGTAAGGTCCAAGCTATGGACAGAATATATATATATATATATAACTATATATATACTGCCTGAAATAAAGTCATGAACTCAAAAGGGAGGTGATTGTGAACACAGGTGGCCCCAGATGCACGGGAGGATGTGCTTCCAAATCTATACGTCCTAGGCGTGCCTAGGCTATCTATATATATATGTTGAATATTGCCAGCAGTAACTGACGGAACGAGCACGTAAAAACAATCAGACACCGGTGGCTGCACTTTAGGCTGCAGCATGTCAAAGAACTCAGACACAATATATATATATACTGTACTGCACATCACATGACTGGGTGTTGACATGCGGAAAAGGATACTAAAGATTGCAGGCTTGACAAATCAACATATCTAGAGCGATAGGCTCTGGAAGGTGCCAAGCAACTGCTGAAGATTCCCATCTGGCTTTGCTACGTTTGACACCCCTTCCGTCTCCAGAATCCAGGTTCAATGCACCACTTCTCTTGTAAAATGTTTCCATTTCTCATGCGATCATCTGAGCACTGATCCTGCCTTCCTTTCTCGCTTCTCGCGGTCCATGTCAGCTTTGGACATGTGTCCATGCACAGCACCTCGGCATATCTTGGAATATTAGCCTATATACCCGAATATACCCCATTGTCTTTGCGCGTGTTTGTGCTTTGGGAGGCATGCGATGCTACAGTGAGTGGAGTCTCAAACGCCAGCACCAAAAAGGTTTCAAAAGCCAAGGCAAACCAATGAGCATACTATGATTTTGCCACGAGCTGCTTGCAAATGGCATCCAAGGAGGTCAGCATACTATGATTTTGCCACGAGCTGCTTGCAAATGGCATCCAAGGAGGTCACAAAATCAAGCTGTTTGTAAGAAATGTTGTGAAAACACCTGAGTTTCAAGATCCAAGCTCGATCGTTCCATCCAAGTAGCCCAGTGGCGCACTGGATCCTGACTTTAAAACGCGGCAGAACAACCCTGGTGTTTAGAAGTAGCATGAAATAGCAAACTATTGCTAGCTTCAGGCCACAGAAGAGGCACAAAATGATAGGAGGGCCAATCCAAATTGATGGGTTTACAACTGCAAACCAGTCTTGAAAAAATTGAAAGCACGCAGCAACTGCGTCCTGTCTTGTACTTTGGCTCCACCTCGCTATGGTCCAAAGGCTCACTCACCGGCTCAGTATGTGGCGGGTGATCGAACCTGGATCCGATAAAACAAGCATCAAAGATTCTCAAAGAAAATTATCTAAAGCAAGATTAAGCAACTCCCCCAGAGATCAAAGAGGAGATATCGTATGTACTGCAGCGGCCAACCGCCGAACATTGTGTACCGACTGCAACCACATTCTGCTTCCACTTGGAAAGCCACAAGTTGAAGCCTATCAAAACACTCTGCCAAAGGCACCTGCAACCATTGCGACGACAGCGACCAGTACGTTGCCATTCGAAGCAAATGTTCCGCTGTTCATCTGCAGTCAGCTGTTGCATCTGCTCCTCCTGTGCCTTTCTCGCCAGAGCCTCAATGTGCTGAGCAGCACCATGCAGCACGGTCAAACTCTCTGAACAAATGAAGAAGGACAGCTTAGGACCGCGGCTATAGGGCAGCTTAACCAATCTAACCGCTTAACCGCGATATACCGCGATCGAGCCACTGCTTGTTTTTCCTGCTCTGCAGCTTCCCTGCCACTGAGAGGACTTTCCTTTGCGGAACCTTTGGCCGCTGCCTTCGTCCTTAGTTTCGAGTCGAGTTGCAGCTTTCAGCAATGCAGCCTCAGCCTGAGGCCATGACCCCACGTGGCAAGACTTCAAGAAAGTGAAATCCCGAGAAATCCACCCTTGTTTGAACAATTTTGAACACACATCACACCACTCAGTCCTGGATCAGGAACCATCCACCCGAGGGTACATTTGTTCAAACAGGCAGAGGGGTTTGCTAAGAGACTTCTGCTCGAATTATGGTACCAACAGTGAGCCCTGGCTGTCATTTGCAGAGAGCACGAGCCTGTGATTAAAAGACTGGCCCTTTGACCAATGTTCACGAAGCGGGTCCATCGGAGTCCTCCAAGCTCACGAGCCCAATCTTTGACCTTGTCCTTGAAAGACTGCGAAATGCCCAGGTTGAGTGCTCTCTGCTCTGGCGTCATGGAAGCCCTGTTGTGCTGGGGCATCGGTTCTGTTCACCCGATCATAGTTATAACCACCGCTGAGGCCCATCTCGCTCTCACCTGGAGGCATACGAATCTGCTTGTAGATGGAGCATGCAAAATAGACTGCACATGCCTGAGAAATCTCCGATCCTGCAAGGAAAATCCCGTAGGGCATAATCGATAGGAATGCCATTCGCTGGATGAAATCCATCATGACATTGAGCAATGTCATGAGCATGAAGGGGATCAGGCATTGCATCCCACCCTGACCACTGTCTGCACATATCTGGCAAATGGTCTCAGCCAAGCACTTGTAGAAGCTCCGAAGGTGTTGATCATCTTTGAGAAGGAATGTGCCCATGACAATGCTAAGAAAAATATTGAGCAACGCAAAGAAGTCAAAGGAGACGGCCCCCAGTGCAATTGCGCATACGGCCCTGCCACAAGCAAAGAAGATCATCGCAATGATGGAATATTTGAGGCGGAGGACATTTGGCTGACATTCCTCTGGCAGTGGGCCATCTGGCATGGGCACACTCGGGAGGGGAATCACCATCTTCCCCTCTCTGCCTCTCAGCCCTCAAAATGCCTGCAAAGTGTATGTTCACACCGCACAGGGCGGCGCATCCACTCTGAGCCAAAGCAAAATGACATAAATCGGTCTTGCATCCAGATTCATCCTAAGCCGATGAGTCACATGACGCAGTCCATGTATCTCATCAAGCTCAACAACACTATGATCTGATGCAATCCAAGTGACTAAGTGTGTGTGTGGGTGGGGCAAAAGCTGAAAAATTGTTTTGTTTGGAAATTACTTGCGGCTGGCAGTCGCTTCAGTTCCCTAAGCAGAAACATGATTTGGTTCAGTTGTGTCCCTACTTCCATGCAAAAGCCAAGTCGACTACTTAGTTTCTCAGCCGTTGCTACCTTTCTCAAGCAAGAGTCTTCGGCTTTGCCTTTGCCTTCGCAGAAGCTGCTTCACCTCACAAGGGCTAAAGTAGCGTCGCTTCCCCGAAACACCCAGCATCGTACTTCTCTTTTCCAGAAAGCAAAACGGATCATCGGAGCGTTCTATTTGTCATCTCTTATATATATATATATATATTAAAAAAAATATATAAATATATATATACATATGTGTGAGTGTGTAATATGAATGAATATGTATATTTCGTGAACTCCATCACTTGAAAGTTGAAAGTGCAATGCATCCTCTGTAGCGTCGCCAGCTGTATCATCAAACGGCCGTTGGCCCATGTTAGCCCCAGCTGTTGCGAACAAGACTCGCCTTGAGACAAGTTACCGATAGCCTCCAGCCAAGTCTCCCGATACCCATCGGGCAGCTTCCTCTCCAATGGCATATCAGGGCAGAGCTTCAGGAGAGCCACTAAGGCAGCCTGACGTCAACCACCGCTTTACCCCGCACTGTGAGAACCGTTATCATCCATCAAAAAGCAGGGAACAGCTGTGCGTCTATTGCTGCATCGAGTAGCTGAGTAGCCATCTACATGTCTACAAATTAGTAGATGGGCTCGTAACTTTGAAATAGGTTTGCTGTATTTTGCTCAGCGGGCGTTTTGAGAACTTGAGTTTAGAATGGCAGCAGAACGTCCCAAATGTGTGCTTTCCATGTCCTTCATCTTCATCTTCTCGGACTTTCTGCTCGTTTCTGTCTTTCATTCTGCTGGAATTATCCGTGTCACTGTTTGTCAGACTTTGTCATGTTGCGTCCAGAATCTGTTCCCCACCTCCTCTCTGGCTGCAAAAGGCGTCTCTGCATCTCTGTTGGCTTCGAATTCCAAGCTTTTGGCAACGTCCTTCGAAGGGTGCTGCGTTTCATCCTAAACCAATCTCCACCACTGAGGCCACTGAGGCCACTGAGGCCGCTGACTCTGAAAGCCTGCAATCTGACGTGCCAAGAAAGCACTACAGTAAACAAGACTGAACAATACTAAAAGATATACTAAACATAGTAAACAGTTAAACTGATCTGATCTTTTACACCCATCTTTTCAAGTCCAGCGTAGCCAGTCCTTGGGATCTGGCAAAACAACCTGATCGGTGCGCGACCCTCAGAAATCATCCGAAATCATCCAGCGCTGATCAGACGATAGGACCTATCCACCTTCTTCCCTCGCATACGATCTATTGATCTATTGACCATCTAGAAATCACTGTGATATTCAGTGATCCCAGCATATCATATTATATCACAAAAATCACCAAAACTGCCTTAAAGCGTCTCGTACTTGCTGCGTGTGCAGGAGTTGTCATGTTTCCCCGGTTCCAAATTCAGCGGTTTCTGTTTTCCAATATCCTTTTGTGTACCGGTCAATGATTTCCCTTTCTGCTGATGGATTACCCAAACAAATACAGTAAATACATGTAAATACAAGACACAAATGTATACGATGCATCCCTTCTTTGTGTGTTCTTGTGCATTTCTGGCATTTTCTTGCTCTGTTTCGAGCCTTAAAGCGGCAAAGGCTTCGGTCATATGACCGCACTCCTCGGAACTCCGGCTTGGGTCGTTTCTGGCCTTGGCACCACCTGGGAAGCGCAAGAAAGAGGAAAGATTGGACCCGCAATGGCCAGTGATCGCCAGGCACCGAAATCAAACGGTTTCTAATGTCTAACTGTAAATAACTGCAATATATTCAAATTATGTTATTGTGATTTCACATCATGTCAAATCTATGCAGCTTCAAATGTGTCAAATGTGTTCAGACAACACCCTGGAATGCCCTCGAACACTTGGCAATTTACCAACAGAGCTCCAGAAGTTCATCTGCAACAGTTTATTTCAGAAGAACAGGACGAAACATGGCGAGACACTCGTTCAGGATTTGTGTGGGCATTCGCTGATAGGATTTCACCACCTTGGCCAGTGAACAATTGCGAAATCCATCAAAGAATATCTCACAGGTGAAATGCAAAGACAAGAAAATGACCTCTAGCCTTCCAGCCTCATTGCGCTCGCTGCCGTTCAACTGAGACTAAATGTTTGGGTGCATGGGTGCATCTTGTCACATTACATTGGAGTATTTCGGTTGCTGTTTTAATAAGTAAAAATCGCCCATATGCACGGCAAGCATCTGTGCCATCTTTCTTTTGTTCCTCGGCATGGGACCAAGGACTCTGACGAGCCGGATCCATCCGGAATCAATCAAGGCTTGGCAGGGTCTGCTAACTATTGAGAAGCAAACAGGGAAGCATTGAGCGGCGATTCAGCCAACGGTTATCCGACGGTTTCGTACAGAGCTTACCATGCCTACCTGGGCCTCCTCGCACACCTATTGACCAGAAATGACCTGGCCCATGTGTGGCTTTTGTGGCCTTAAACTTCCTGCATGTTTCAGCTGCTTTGAATTTTTGGAAGTGGCTCAATGAAGCACAAGGATTTGTGTGTGTTTGTTTGCTGATATGTGATCATATCAGTATCAGGTATATCTTTAGCATATGCGTCCCCATTGCAGCTCATTGCAGCTCATTGAATGACTCATTGCAGCTAAAGCTTCAGGAGCCTTGTCTTTGTACTCCGTGCCAGCCCCACCCCGCTTCCCCATGAGCTGTGGACTCCAGCAAGGAGCTGCGGATAACAAGTATCGACAAATGTTCACAGTTCTTAGTGCCAACCAACTTTAAAGGAAACCAATGGAAAGCAAAACCAATCCAAAACCATGGACATCACCTGGAGATCGAAGTGGACTTGGCTGCCATTATCTGCCAGTGTGTAACTGCCCCTGCGGGATCTTAAATCAATGGACGACTATCATTGTAAATGCTGGCAGGTCTTCCGTTCCCAGCCGCGACTTCGATGAGATTGCTGCAGGATATTGCAAGGTGACGCAAGGTGCTTGTGTAAGTTGCTGTATATAAGTTTCTGAAAGCTGCAAATGGCTTCCACACAAATCTCAACACATCCACTACCATTTGTCTGCTCTTGCCCTTTCAACTGCCACAAAGAAGACGCCGAGCCTCATGCGTGAAACCACTGTCATATTTACCCCAAGCAAAGATAATAAAAGGATTGGATTAGACTGGATGGGATTAGCGTTGTTCATCGGTGTTCTTTGCTGCTTTCATTATTTTCATTTACTTGTTTCATCTTTTTTCATGTAAGTGTTCATGTTTGTTCAGTTTTGTTCTTTTTTCTCTCATTTTGCTGGCAACTCAAACGGCCACAGGACTTCGACGTACCTCATGGCTCTCTGGCCTGGCTGCTGAATAGTCAGGGCACTTCAGGACACAAAAGGAGAGCCTTCCATGTTGCGGATGCTTAATTAATGTGCTTCACGATCTTCATGCGAATTCATGCATATTGATGAGGCATCAGAATTCTACGTTGGTTGGGTACTATAACCGTTCAATGGATTCAAACGTGGGTTTTCAGGTGCCAAAAGAAACCCGAACACTACGCCATCAAATGCAGCAAAATCATCAGGTCGACTGAGAAGCCTCTGGATCAATGAGATCGTGATGAGATCCCTCGAAATCCAAGAGGTCGCTTTCGGCCTGCAGGACAGCTTTCAAGTTCAAACCAGCTCGGTGCAAAATTGTTTTGCTTTGCATAGGAGGTCGATCACCTATGTCCTATGACGCAAACGACGCAAAAGATCCAAACCCGCCTGGGCTTCTGGTGGGTGAAACGGAGCTGCCTGGGCATCTGAAACCTGCCAGTAGTTCAAGAGTCAAGAGTGTTCAAGAAGAGTGCAGAAAATCAGAAACAAGATAACAAGGAGCGCTCGGAGGCGCTGGGGAGTGGCAACTTCCAATGACTTGGCCAAATCTTCGTCTTCTTCATCTTCTCTAAACCCAGATTTGGATGACCTGACTGTATCTAACGAATGCGAGTCAGATTGGCTAATCAAGTCACAAAGAAGCGCGTCTGCGACAGTACTATCCAATGACCGATCATGCAAGGGACAATGGGCACTGAGGGAGGAATGTAGTCTCCCGTGGATGGTCGGTACTCATCTTCTTCTTCGTCCATCTGCATCTGCGCCTCCTCCTTTGTTGGCCAGGAGATCCAAGAAATAAGGTCATCCTTTCACATGTATAAATGCGGTGCTCAAGCTATATCTCCAGGCAGGGAAACCAAACAAATTCAATCTGATGGTCGTGTTGAAGTCAAGGTCATACAAGCAAGAGCCAGACTTGCAATCCAACATGATTTAAGTATATTTAAGTGCACTTCTGAATCCTTTGAAATGTCATGGGATGTCCAGACCCTCCGCTACCCCCGAGTTCCGCTACTATGGCCCAATTTATATAATGCCGTTTAAAAAGTTCAAATCAAAGAGGAAAGATGGGCCAAGGAATGCCAAGGATACAGTATATTAAGTATTGCCTGCCATCTCCTACTCAACTGGTCTCTCGATGTCTCTCGATGTGTCCCGGACCTCGTAGGGGTCCTCTGCCACCTCCGGCTCATCCATGCCCATGCCCTCCAGCTCCAAGCCAGAGACATGCCGCGAGTGAGTCTCAAACAGACCCTGCCGGCCAAAGCTGTGGACATCAAAACTATTCAAATGATAACAACTTTATACAACTTTCACATCACACATATCCACAATGGAGCGAGTTAACAGTTAGATTCGATAGTCCAAGAGGCAGATGAGATTTCAGTGGCATCTGGCTGCCCCCTCTTATCTGTTGGCTCAACAGTGCAATGCACCATCGACATCACAAAACATTCACAAGCTAGATTCAAACATGGCACGACATTATACGACGTTACTAGGTATGTATATGTATGTGTATATATATATATACATATATATATATATCTCTCTCTCTCTCCCTCTCTCTCTCTTGATATTGTATGACAAAGTAGTACGTACAGAATTCGTACAGTAATATTCCTTCTCTGATCTTCCCTGCCCCTCTTGCCTTCACGCCCTGGATGATTGCCCCAGCGCCGTTGAGCACACCACCTACAGCTGTGCCCAATACATCGCCAAAGGTAACGTCCTTGGCAACGTTCACAGAACCGTCGGGCAGCTTTGTGTCCTGACGCGCCACAAATGACACAAAATAACACAAAATCAAAGGAAGGCGCTCTATTGAGACAAATAGATAGATCATGATTGCATCATATTGCGCCGATACCTTATCAATCGTTGCGCTACCATGTGCCCATGTTCTCGTGTCAAGAGCTTGCACAACTTGCACACTTGATTTAAGCAACTAACATCAATGGCATGTTCCACGTTCCTTTTTTTCCCCCTTGTTTCCCTGCGTGGACAATTTTGGAGTTTTTCCCAGTGCCCTATATAGTGCTGCCCTGCCTCAGGTGGCTCGTAATTTCCAAAGCCAACAATGCGACGAGAAAGCTCTTTGTACTCCTTGCAGTGGTTGTAGGTTGCACATGTTGGGAAAGCATGAAAATGCATGAGCATCACGACGACATCTTCAATCTGGCAGTGAAAAATGGAAATCTGATTTCTGCACATGTCACCCGGTCAGCAGTATCTTCTCTCTTCATCTCTCTTCTATCCTTTTTTGATCCCGCAGGCTGGCTAGTTGATCTAGTTGTAGAGATCACAACTGAGAACGGGCTCCTGGTGATAAAACTCGTTCGTCTCCAAGACCTCCCTTGCTCCTTCAGCAGCCTCTCGCACCAGGCGGTAAGGCTCCTTGGAATCAGGCCACAAGGCAGCGACGAATTCGAGATAAAATGATATAAAATCATTGAAAATGTAATGCAACAACCCAGTAACCCCAAGACTCTACGATCGGATCGAGTCTGCCCCCTCGGTCGAAACAAGGCACGTCGCCGAACATGGGCGATGGGGGGCCGGTGAAAACGCAAGCTTCTTGGATTGAACCCAGGCCATCAGGCTGACTCAGGAAGGCCTGCTGAAAGGGCGGAATCCTGGCAATAACTGAAGCTTTCGATATCGTTCAATGCATTTCAGTCAGCATGATTCATCTAGAATCTATGTTGCTTTCAGATACCATTGAGCTAGGACATCCTTTAATATCAAGAGCCTTGCAGTCTCACCGTTGAGTGTATTGAGTCATTTCAGTCAAAGAATGTAGAAGGAACGAAAGTAGAAAAAGTGAGGCAGGAGACAGTGTCGGACTGTCACGCAAGTTGATGAAAGTTGTCTCCTGTAGGCCAGCGTCTTGATCACAAAGAGTGCTTTGAGTTTGACGTGGGCATGGTCACCATTGACGCAATCGATCAAGTACTGAGCCAGCGCGGGAATCTCTGATGGACAGGCGTTCGACACATTCTGCACCTTATCGTGGCGTTGGGCAATGTCACGTTTTTGCAAAACGAACGTTGAAGATGTTGAAGAGCATTAGTGAATATTAGTGAATATTAGTGCATTAGCAATGCATTAGCATCATTAGTGCCCTCGTTGGGCTGGAGTCTGAGAGTCCAGTTGGATCCAGTTGGTCAGCAAGCTGCTCTCGTCGGTTTGTTTCTTTGATTTTCTTTGTTTCGTTATGTTTCGTTGTTTGGTGGCATTGTGATGCATTGTGTAAGACATGAGATCTTCGAGTTCAAGCCACCCCTGAAGCTTACCTCTGTGAGTCACGCCCAGTCAAAGCACCCACATCCAATCGCATATTCCATGAGCCGGGAAACAATGTCATTAAACAAATAGCCCGGCGTCGGCGTATTGTCCCTGTTCGTTGCTCTGTATATGTCGCTCCACTCAATGGCAGCCTGAAAGGAAACAAAGGCCAAACAACTGGATGGAAGCAAATGCGGAAGAATGGACGTGTACGTCTACGAGTATGTGTGCATGCTGCGTGTGCGCATGGAATCACAGTATACTCGCCAAATTTACTAATTAAGGCCCCTTGGCAGAAACGGGCTCTGTCACAATTAGGGCTCCGCACCATGCACTACGGCCTCAGAAACCAGTATCATCACGTGAAGTCAGGAGGGCCGTTCTCATCTGACTCACTTTTGAGTCCACATTGAACTTTGGTCTTTGCTGAAGCGTGGCGAAGGGCTGATAAGGAGTTGACAAAGCTAGGTTACAACAAGGCACTTTTCAAATATAGTGTCCAAATTCCTACCTACACTGACGAGTGCAACGTCTCTCGTCCCACACCTTGGCATCTGTCCACATGGCGCTTTCAGCTTGGCTGCGGTAAGGTTCAGCTCATGCACTAAGAACTTTCCACCACAACCCGCACCACACATTTGGATACATTTGGTCCATGAGTCCATGAGCCACAAACAGCGATTGCAAAACAGAGACACTCATCTGCGCACGGGAAAATTCCGGCCGCATTGCCCCATTAAACGCCACCCCCATTCTTGTCAGTTTTTAAGGTGACTCCTCGGTCATACTCCAACACCAGCAAATGGCAACCTAGTACTGTGGCTATATCTAGTTGTTAACAGCCATCACCGAGTGGGCCATGCAAACACAGTGGCCTGCAGTGCAGACTGCAAAAGACTCAGCAATGCTTTTGCGACGAGGAATCCCATGCATTGCCTACCGCTATCTATAGATACAGATACGGACAGATTATTTTGTCTGAACACTGGTCTTAGACTGATGAAATATATAACTATGGAACACTGCTAATATGTGTTTGCACTCTTCAGGCGACGGCTGGTGCCTTTTTTCCAGGTGAAAGCATGGTTCGAGGGTGACGAGAACCATGACAACCTCTCAAGAATAATGAGTACGGAAGGAAGCAAGTCCACAAACATGCACACATTGCCCAATATGTATGAAGGCAGTTGTCTTAATTCAATGTGGAACGATTGTGATCATACATAACAAGTGCTTTTCTTGCCGGGCCATCCAAGGGTTTGCCCTTCATTGACTTCCTTATGGATTGAAGAAACGAGGCGGAAAATGATGGAGTCTTCCACACAAAAAAAAAAACATCACGTATGCCGCGTACGCCTTAGTTCATCTTCAGGTTGACCTCAACCCCTCTAAGCCGCAAGAATTGCAGCATCCGCGCATCGGCAGGTGATGGTGTGCGATGATACCTCACGCAAGACGGAACCTAACGAAGCAGGGACTCTTCAAGAGAACTGCCAGGAGAAGATTGGAATATCAGTGCCCTTCCGTAGTTTCTCTTCCTCCTTCCCGAGTCTTTTAAATTTCTTCCAGGGACAATACGATTCCATGCGCTATTATTTGATTATCATCATGCTATCCATACAGTCGTCATGGACTCTTCCACAGCGGCCCCAACGCCTTCGTACTACTCGCGCTTCCTTCGCTTTGGCACAGAGCAAATCTTTGTAGGCTTTCGGCGCCAAAACTGCGGGCACTGATAGTGGACGATGTGGGTCCTCACACGTCCAGCAACCCAAGCGAAGAACGGAATGGACCCGGACAATACAGAAGCTTGAACATCTTGAATCTTGAACTTGTATTCATCGAAACAAAGACAAGCAGGATTGCATGAGCAGTCGGTTTCTGAAGCCTTGCGGGAGTGCAAACATGTGTGGAATATTAGCATGTATTGCATTAGTTTAACTGCGCCCATAATAAATAAATATTATATATATATACATATATATATATTATGTATATATATATATATATATGTGTGTGTGTATGTGTACATATATGTGTGCGTGTGTGTGTGTTTAAAAAAATGTCTAGGAGACGGCGTACGTTCACGAATAGTTACAGTATATGTGCACATATGTGTATATATCTATATATATATATATTATATGATTATACCTGTGTGTGTGTGCATGTGTTTATAATTTATAAACAAGAATATATGCGTGTGCATGTATTACATCCGTTTTGATCGTTTCTGTGATGTCATTGTAATGTCCGCGGCAGTGCAGAAACTCAAGAAATGTCCCACGTTTTGGATTCAATCAAGCTGCATTCCTTCAGTCGGGCCAGCATACAATCAAACATAATCAACAAAATGTCAAATACAAACAAATGCTCTGGCTCTGACAATCTGATCACTGCATGTGCATGCTCCGGTAGACAAATTGTGCTATATCATATTATATAATTATATATTTTTGTAGTTATTTATTGTACATAAGTTGCGTCGGACGCCAGTACAACGAATCCATCCTCCGAAGCCATCTCAAAGTCGTCGTCGAAAACCTAGAGTCAAGTCATGTCAGTTTATTTTAACCGACATCAGATTCCTAGACTACCGTATCTCTCCGTACCATAAAGTCTTCACAAACGGGTGGAGTCTGTCCTACAGTCGTACAAACATCATTTTTAGATCTGATATCCTACTGGCCTACTCAGTACCACTCGATGTCATCGCAGTGTTACATCCTGTCTCGTTGCGGTCAAGAAGCATCTTCGTTGTCTACCACCACGAGCCCTACAGCACCAGAGGCCTCTGCCCTGCGTGCCATGGATTCAAACTCCTCCGAGTGGGGCTAGGTCAGTCTGCCACTATCTGCCGCTATCTGCCACCTGGCCCCCCCCAAAAAAAAGTGACTTCTTTGGAATTGGATCATATCTTGGACGTCGCAGCAATCTGAATGTTGCTCACGTCATTCAACGTTGGTCAATATCATATCATGCCATGCCAAGGGCACCATATGAATCATTGGCCAATCATTCCACTTTGCATCGATGTTCTGAAGATCTGAAGTCTGTCCTCCTCACCACGGATGGCCACGACTATCTTTTGTGCAGCGGCCGCCCATGTGCAGGCACCGTCAGCATTTGCAGCATCAAACAGTAAAGGTCCTTCACAAAGAACTCCCACCTACAACAGGGCGAACACACAAAACAAAACTGAATCCATCTCTGAGGACGATGACAAGCCATGATAATCTTGGAAATGCCCAATGAGCAGCAAAGCGAGGACGGAAACAGAAATTGAATTGTGCAACCTGCCACTTGTTTGTGAATTGGGTGGGGGTGCCCTCACATGGCATGTTTCAAGATTTGACTGGCCCCAGATCGTGTGGTGACAAAATCTTCACCTCCTGCTCACGAATTGATAGTAGTTGAAAAATGTTGAACAGAAGGCCCACCTCCAGCTTCTTTCGCTTTAGCACCCTGTGAGACCAGTCTGCATGAACGCAAGCAATCGGGTCCTGCAAAGCTCAGGGCTGAGGGACTATTCTCTGCGAGAGTCCTTGAGTGACTTTTTCGAAGCACCAGAATCCTTGATGGAACGTCAGACTCCGCTTCCCCACATACTACAGCGGAAAGTAAGGATTAATACGGTATGAATAAGATTGAATATAGATATGGCTCAAGCACGCGCAATGAAACTTACAAATGTACACATAAATAAAATAAATAAATGAATAATTAAACTAAATAAACACATATAAACACATATTATCATATTATATATATATACCTATAATATATATATACACCTATAATATACATATATATACCTATAATATTTATATATACCTATAATATATAGATATACCTATAATATATATATATATATACATATATACCTATAATATCCTATAATATATATAACATATATATATATATCTTATCATAAAAGTACAGACATGTGTGTGTGTGTGTTGTCATTGTGGTTCGAAGGAAGAAGCAAACATTATCCTTGTTCTCCAGCTCCAGGTAGTCACATGTTTTCAAGGCTGCCACAGTGGGCGGAGTCTGGCCATCGGAAGCTTCAAAGACCATGAGCTGAGTAAACTCCAGCTGCCTCCTTTCCCTACAGCTGGAGCCCGGCAGCAAAATGTAGTTACTGCATGTTGCTGCATAGAAACATGCAGTAGTAGTTTGGAGATAGTCTTACCAGTAGTAGGGCAGGGCCAAACTCAACTCTCTCAATTATCAGCAATCAAGCAAAGCAAATGCTACAAGTCCTTTTCCCATGACTTGCCACAAGCCATCCAAAATGAAGCACGTTGAAATGCACACAAAGACTCATGTTGCTATATTTTTCTCTAGCTTAGGAAATGCTGACGTAGTACTGGACTGGCACACGTCAAGCCGCAAGTCAGCTACGTACACAAAACGGGCAGGCCGTCGTCTCACACCAATCAGCGGTCAATCCAGAACCAGCCCTCGTGCTTGCTTGGACCTGAATCCAAATCCAATGTCATTCCCAAACTGAGATATGTTTGTTTCGCTGTTTTGCCATGTTTCATGAGAATCAGGAATCTGCAAGGATGGGCTCAAACGCTGCATCAAACAAGAATGTGCACAATGGATATCAGGCCTTTTGGGTTCAAAGCACATCACTATACCCGAATTATCTTTCTCAAACCTGCACCACCTCACGGCAGCTCAGACAGTCACGCTGTTCCTTCGTTTTTTTGGTGATTTCATGATTTTCATGTGATTTCATATCTTCAAAGACTTTGAGTCTTTGACCTTTTCATACCTTTTCTTTGCTCTCCCGTGTCCAGTCCAAGGTTCCCAGGCATTGCTCACCACGTCTGACATAGCGATGCAAATTCTCTCTGTGAGGATCTTGCGAGAGCCGAGCGCAAGCGAAAGGGCGATCATGGCCCACCCAATCACCGAGCCAAGTGCCTGAGATGACACTGGCGAGGCTCGGCGAGGTCTTCTGAGTCTTCTGAGTCTTCTGGAACTCTCAACGGCTCACGTGCAACATGCACATGTTCTGTCAGAGTAGCAAGTCAAGAGAGGACACAGGGCACAAATGTCAAGTGGGTGATATTCCAGCAAAGAAACACCGAACAACACTACAACATGCTAAGTCTGTCCCACCCACATTTGCAGTACCATCTCAAAAGCTCTCTGAGCCCAAGAGGTCTGGTCTCCTTAGAGGTCTGATCTTCCTAGAGGCACCAAGGAAACGCTTGCGCCACACCTCAAACTTTGCTTTCGCTCTCACAGTTTCAGCTTACCTGCAAGGGGTAGTTAATGCCGATGCCTACGCGGGCCTATGCACACCATGGATGTCCTTCTTGCCTCTTTCCTATCGCAAGTTGCTTATGCATCTTATGCGAATGCTTGCGCAAGCTTGGGCCACCCAGTGTGTTGCCTCCGCCAGTCCAGGTATCTTTAGCCTGGCTCCTATGGCCCCCATGCAACCCTCCCTATATAGCTATGAAGAAGCATCGCAGTATCTCTTCAAACAATTGCAGTGCTGTGTCATGCCATGTAAGTGTGGATGCGTAACTGCTCCGGGTACTTTGGATATAAGACTGTATCTGCCATCAAATCTGCAGAAAGTCACTCCACATCCTGAACTGATGGGCAGCTTGGAAATGGCAGGCCGAGAAAGCCTCTTAGACTCTTAGACTTCTTGAAACTTCAATGTCATGTTGAGGATTGTTGAGGCATCTCTTGGGATATTTTTCCGTGACTTGTTAGAGCATTAGAACACGTTACATCCAATCTATGTGCATCGCACTTGTCTACAGTGTAGCCATTTGCAGGCCGATGCCTGGATATTGCGCACGGTTGCCTCGCCACAAAGGAGTCCAACTAACCCATACATATATATATATATATATACGTATATTATATTATATTATATTATATCATATTATGTTATATCATATTATGTTATGTTATATTATATTATATTACATTATATTATATTATATTACATTATATTATATTATATTACATT